GGGCGGACAGAACCCCTCAGTACCTGGGTTCCCAGAAAACATGCAGAATGACAGATGCGAGCAGGTTCGGTGTGGTCAGCAGGCCTGCGTGACCGGACCGGGTGGGAGGTTCTGCGCCCGTTTGAACCACACCGGGGATGCGCGGGTTCAGGATCTGACCGGGAGGAGTTTCAGGGGTGGAGGGGGCTGAGGACTGGCCATCCCAGTGTCTGGGGCGGCTTGGGGTGAGGTGGGAGCACCCAGACAGTGGGCAGAGAGGGGAGCTGGGGGAGGGGCGGGAGCTGGGCCAGGGTGGGTGGCAGGCACAGTCCTGCTCTGGTGCTTTCAGCTGGATGGAGGCCTGCCTGAAGGAGGAGCTTCCTCCCCCCGTGGAGCTGGAGGAGAGCCTCCGGAACGGGGTGCTGCTGGCCAAGCTGGGCCACTGTTTTGCACCCGCCGTGGTCCCCTTGAAGAAGATCTATGATGTGGAGCAGCTGCGGTACCAGGTGGGGCGGGAGGCCCCTCCCTTCTGCCTGCTTCCTCTTGCTTGCCCTTCTCCTTAGCAACAAGGGACTCTTGCTAGTTGGGCCCCGGGCTGCCCCTGCTATGAGGCTTCTGAGCAAACTGGTCTACCCAAGTCTACGCTCAGAGGCCTGGGGGCTTTGCCGCCGTGAAGCTACTTCCTGGACGCGCTGCCCCTTCGCCACGCTCTGGCCGGCACAGCCCTGTCTCCTTCCCGCCTCACCTCTGGACTCCCCTTTACTAGGAAGCCTTACTAGGTTGTTGATCCCCCGTCTGCCGTCCTTCCCAAATGTCCTGCTGGGTCATCCATTCCTGGTGGCTTCCGTCTGTGACTCTCTCCTGGAGGGTCGGGGGACGGAGTATGGGAAATCTGCAGGGCAGGGTCCGCTGGCTCCCCACCCCCCACCCCGCCCTTCAGATCTCCAAGCCGCGGTCTGGGCTGTGCCCATGGGGAGCTCTGAGAACGGTAGAAATAGATTCTCTTCTCTTTCCTTCCCTTTCAGGCAACTGGCTTGCATTTCCGCCACACAGACAACATCAACTTCTGGCTGTCGGCCATAGCCCACATCGGCCTGCCTTCGGTAACGCTGGGCCTCGAGACTGGGGTGCATCTTTACTCTCCACCGGCCCCCCACCCCCACCACGCACGCTTTGTCTCCCCGGATCCTTCAGCCCTCGTCATCATGTGTCTCCTTAGCTAACTTAACCTGAGGGCTTAAATTGCTTGCAGGTGTCTTTGAACCACGTTACTTGGTCTCTGCCTCTACTTCCTGTGGGTGAGGGAAGTGGAGGGAGGTGAAGGCCCCCTGACCTAAGCTGCACTGTCCCCATTAGTGAGCGAGACCCCCCGTGCAACGCAGGGGATGCATATTTAGCCAGCCTTCCACAGAATTTCGTGGCGTGATGTGGGCTTGCTACGGGCCATATCCCTTGGTGGTGGACTTGGAGGCCCGGGCCCGGGTCCCCTGTTGGCCACGCACGGCACGTCCCCTTGCCCTTTGGATCTCAGCGTGTTACTTGACTGTAAAATGGGGATGGTGATCCCTGCCCTGTGTACCCCGTGAGGCTGTCAGGAGGACTGGATGATGTGCGTGAGTTCCCTTTATGAGTCCTAAGGAACTGTACCAATTAAGGCATGATAGGACTCTGCAGGGTTCTTCCTACAGGCAACTGTGCGACAAGGAAGCAGCAGTAAGGGGACTTTGGTGGGCGGCAGGAGTAATAGGGGCCAGCTGTCCTCAGTGATGCTGGAACGCTGTTAAGTCTCTAGATTGGATCCTTCCTGTGAATCTGAAGTAACCAAGAGGTTTTGAGCTTCGACCTCATGGGAGTCGCCAGGCGGAATGGGATGCCGTGTCTTGGAGGGAGGGCTCAGTTCTTCGAGGGGACCCCACTGATCAGAGGCCTGTGGCCCAGAGACAGGGATGAACGCCCTGTGCCCTCGGTGGTCCTGGACAGCGTGTGCCTCTTTGGGCCTTC